TGTATGAATGTCCTTGCATTAAATTACAAAATATCAACCCAAGGGAAATGTTTTAAGAATGATAGCACAAGCAAATTTTTCAAGCATTTCACAAAAGTTAGCTCTGAGAAAAGAACTTGTATGCAAATGGAATTTGTTTTAATATTTCAATGCAATGCCATTTTAAAAGAAAATTCACCTAAAAATAAAAATTCTGTTATCATTTACTCCCCATCATGTGATTCCATACCTGCATGATTTTTTCTTCTGTTTTTGCTCCCATTGGACCCAAATGCATTTCCTTGTATGCATTTTTTTCTATACAAAAATAAATTAATAAAAATGAAATGTATGAATGCCATTAAATAACAAAATATCAACCCAAATGAAATATATTTTAAAGAATGATAGCATGAGCACATTTTTTAAAGCAAAACATTTCACAAAAGTGAAGTTGGGTCTGAGAAATGGTCCTGATTTATTTGCAAAAGATATTTAATAAAAATGTTATAAAATTCTGTTATAATTTACACACCTATGACTTTTTTCTTCTGTGGAACACGTCTCAACTGTTTTTTGCCCCCATTGAACCTGATTGAACTTCATTGTCTTTCACTGCATTTCATTTTTTTGTCTACACAAAAAATACAGGTTCGGAAGGACATGTGGGTGAGTAGATGATGAAAGAATTGTTCTTTTTGGGTGAACTACCCTTTAGGTGTCCAAATAACACAGGCATAAAATCCATGGGAAACAGACATGTATTCTACTTTAATAGCTCCTGGCGCATTAAATCTTAACAGTCCATTTAATTCAATGCAACCACAAACAGTGCCCCTAGGAAAGCACTTATATCTTGTATCTTTACTGTATATTCAGTTGTTGGAGACTTGTCATGATATAATGCGTTTCATGCAGACACATAAGCATTACGAACCAAGTAGAATTAATTACAGCACTTTTTCAAGAGTTGGCCGATTGTGTATCTCTGTTGTGTGTGTGAGATAAGAGAGTAATATTACGGGGATTACCGTGAGATGGTAGGCCCTGGGGCTGCTGGATGAGGGTGCGGGGGAGGAGGGGCTGTTTCCTGGCTGTAGCCCTTGTTTGTCTGCCTGACCTGGCAGCACTAGGGGCAGATCCCGCTTGGATACAGCCCTGATCCCACGCCTGTCTGAAGCTGTTAGCCAGGCGCTCTGTTCGGCTAGCTGGGCTTAGTGCGTCTGGGCACAGGGAGGGGCTTGGGCTGGGGCTGGGGCC